CAGTTTCTTAGTCTTCTACGCCTAGTGGTCTTATCATGGGTTTGCACCACAGTCTTATGCAACACCAGTTAATATGCCTCTATATACGTGTAATATTATACTTCGCATAGATGCTTTGAGCTCCCAAAGCTGGGAGGACCCAGCCTGGTGTACCTGGATAATAGCCACATGAGGCCAACTAATCGACAGGAGACAGTTATCGTAATGCAGATATAATTTCCTAATTTCATCATAGGTAGGATTTGAACCTTAGACCTGCTACTTGGAGAATGACAACCCAACTACTACATTAGTAGTACAATTTTTTAAATTTGTTTTTTTTTATTAATAAAAAAATATTAATTACATAATAAACTTTATTAAACTATGTTTATTAACATTAAATATTTATTGTGATTTGACCCTTTAAAATATTTTCCACTAAGTAAAATTTTATAAATTTAAACTTAAAGTTTACTTTTGATATTAAATCTCAAAATTTGGCATTATATTAATATTGTTACAAACTTTAATTTATTGAATTCACCTTCAAGATTAACAATATATTCATATTAAAAAATTGGCCTAATTGTTTAACTATGGGTCTACATATAAGTTTGCTTTAATTAGTTGACCATCCACCCCAATATTAACATTAAGTTCATGCCAAAAAATGTCACAAATGTAAGAATTATTATGTTTAATTTTATCATGATTTATTGAAACTCAGTTCATTATCCGATGCCACCTTGATGTTGTAGGAAAATAAACTAAAAATATGCTAAAGTTTATCATTAGCAGGATAGTTATTATTTGTTTCAAAAATTTTTTTGATGTGTGGTCCCTCTTCAAGGTAGTTATTCATATGCAAGTGGCATTTAAGTTAACAGATAAAAGGGTGAATTAAATTATATAAAAAAAAAATAAGGTTAAATATTAATAATACAAATTTTATTAAGATATTTGATTTTTCATTCATAAGTCAAGCATTAGCATATTTAATTTAGGTAATTCTATTACTTCTGATACATCATATATTAATATAACAAATTAAAAAAGTTTATAATTAACATTTTATCAAATTATTGCTATTTAAGACTAATCTTTTGAGATTAAATATATCATAATTTTAAATAATAAAAATAAATAAACAACTAGATGACTTAACTATCAAATTGGTCCTTTTAATGAGGAGATCATTTTGATAGTTAAGTTATCTAATTGAATCAGTAGATCAAAAAGTTATAGATTTTTTAAATTTATCATTATCATTATGTATTATTAATGTTATACAAGAAAATTGCTACTTTATTTAATATTATACTCTTTTTTTACATAACTAGAAAAACTTTTTTGTAATTGTTACACTAAGTTACTTGCAAAACAACACTTAATTTTGATTAGTTAACTTTTAAATAACAAAATTTTTAGTTTTTTATTAATTTTTTAAAATATTAAATCAAGTAATTATAAAAATTATTACAAATAAGTTTTATAAATCCTAACAAAATCCACTTATACTCTTTTATTATCAAAACTAACTCTAAACTCTAATCTAACTACAATATTAAAAAAAATGCCAAAAAAATATATCCCAAAAATTTTTGAAAATTTCAAGCTTCAGTCATAACATTTATTTATTAAATATCAGATCATAAACGAATTTGGTTCAAATTATTCAATTAATAAACAGTGACTTAAATTAATATTCAACCTTTATAGTTAATTCAATTGTTGATATTTTATAGGAGATACAATGATTATTGCGCATGAATTTTGAAGTATACTAGCATATGATGAGTCATGTATGGTAGTAGATAATTCATGTATTTTGATAGTTTTAAGAATTTCATCCACAATTCTATTTTGATGAAAAATAAATTAGAGTAAAGGTCAAATTGTTATAAAATAAAGATGTTCTTTCTTTTATATATTACTCTAAGATATGCCCAAAGCTTTTCAATCAGAT